ACTACTGCAGAAGAGTTGCAAAATTTTTTTGCAATAACTATTATTATGGGAAACTTAAAATTTCCAAGAATTAGAATGTATTGGCAAAAAGCCACCAGAGTTAGTTCTGTTGCTGAAATCATGCCTGTCAATCGCTATATGCTACTTCGAAGCAGCATACACAAAAACCTCAACCAAATGAGCAGCTAAATAAATTTTGGAAAATTCAAACGCTCGTCGAGGCAATAAGAGCTTGTTGCTTACAGCCGCCCAGAGAAGAATTTAATTCAGTCGACGAGCAGATGATTCCATTCACAGGCAAAGTGCCGGCAAAACAATTTATCAAAGGCAAACCAACTCCAGTAGGAGTGAAAAATTTTGTTATCTTTGGCAAATCTGGACGAGCCATAGACTTTGAACTTTATCAAGGAGCAGGAACTGGAATTCCTGAAAATAATAAACATTTGGGACTTGGCGCTTCAGTTGTTCTCCGTCTAGCACAAAGCATCCCCCGGAACAAAAACTACAAACTTTGTTTTGACAAATATTTTACTGGACTTCCTCTCATTAAGGAATTACAATGTTTAGGGACTTATTCTTTAGGGGCTGTTAAATCCAACAGACTGATGGGATGTGTTCTGAAATCAGAAAAAGACCTGAAAAAAGATGGTCGTGGATCAACAGACTGTAAAGTTAGTGCAGAAGGGGATATTTGTATGGTCAGATGGATGGACCATAAACAAATTACAATAGCTTCCAGTTTTGTAGGTGTTGAAGACCTTGATAAAGTTTGACACGGAGTGTGAGCAGCAAAGAATTCATTTCAGTTGATAGACCAAAATGCATACAGGTCTCTAATGACTTTATGGGCGGAATGGATAAAATGGACTTTCTAATTTCAAAGTATAGGATTAAAGCTAAAACAAGGAAATGGCCAGTTCGAATGATATTTCATTTTGTAGACTTTGCCCTTTCAAATTCATGTTTAGAGTATCGTGACATTGAAATTCAAAATGGTACGCCTAAAAAAAATATTTTGGATCTTCTTGGTTTCAGGAGTGAGGTTGCGGGCATGTTGATGAAGGCATGCTTGGTGACACCACAGCTTTGCCGACCTGTTGGTAGACACAGAGCACTAGCAGTTATTGATGACTTAAATACTGTAATTCCTGCTCCAAAGCGATCAAAGGCTGCAGAGAGACCAGTATCAGAGGTCCGACATGATCAGTTCGGTCATTTTCCAATCTGCATAAAAGAGTTAGGCCAAAGGTGCAACTAGAAGGATGTAAAGGTCGCAGTAGGTTCAAATGCACTAAGAGTAATCTATTTCTGTGCTGCAGTAGTGACAAAACTGTTTTTTAAAGTTTCACAACAAATGAACATCCTCCATTCTCTACCCATATTTACATTTATTTGTCAGATTTTGCTGTTATATTGATACAAATATTATGTACAAATGCTTTAATAGTCATATATTTGGCTATTTAAATAATTAAAAATTGGCTTGTATTCAAAATTGACTTGGAATTGTATTATTACTATGATGTTGTCATTATGTGTTATTATTTTATTTTACTCCATTGATACACAGTGTGTACATATGTACACATGCATTAATTTGCATAATTAATAAGCAATGATCAAAACCTTAATATGGCCATATCAGGATGTCCCATATATCAGGTCCCAACTATTAAATAATTTTTTGTGATGAAATTCTGAGTCCGTGTCCGAAGGGGTTAAACAGGTCAGTATGGTAAAGAGTAACTCTTTATATCTTTTAACATAAATGTTCTTAGCACCTATTGTGCTACAATTGTTGCTAAGATTCAGAGAACTAAATTAACTTTATAATCCTACAGTTAACTAGTATAACACTGGGGGTTAAATACAATTGCAAACCATTATGACAAAAGACACAATTCACTTGCTCTGGAACATCTTGATTATAGCTTATTTCATCTGGTACCAAGGGAGAGATCAATCCTAAAACTTGAGTGCTACGTTAATTTTCTGTAGCTGGTTAAAAAAAGAAAAGAAAACAAGAAATAAAATAAGAGGCTAACATATACATTCAGACAAAGATACACCTTATCTCTTTTTAACAAGTTTGCATTGAGCATTATTAATTATATACAAATTGTAAATTTATAAATGATTGAATATTGCTATTTGTTATTCAAACAGAAATTATTTTAAAACATTTACATAGCCTAGTACAGGCCTGCACAATTTAAAATGTAAGACAGGCCGTAATACTTTAAAAAAAACTTGTGCCGGCTGAAAGAAAATGGGACAGGTGGGACAGCTATTAAGAAAATAATGATTAAAAATAATATTTCGTTATTTCGCGGGCCGCAAAGTGGGTGCTGGCGGGCTGTATGTTGTGCAGGCCTGGCTTAGAAATATGAAAATAATAGTATATATATTTAAATCATAGATGATGAAGATATTAAATGGTTAACCAGATGTTTCAATCAATGGGCTAATTAAATTATGAGATGAAACCTGACCTTTTTTTTGGTCAGCTTAAGAATTGTGCCTTGTTACAGAATGGTACTGGTACTCCAAATGCCAGACAGATGCACATCAACCAATGGTTGTCAAATGTAACCATGAAAAACTGTGTGAAAAGAAGTCAGAATGCTTACACAAACATTCTATTATAAATATTCTTTTATTCAGTGCTATAGTTAGTAACACCATTAAATTTATATCTCTTTCTAGAACCGACAAAGCAACTCTCATTTAGAAAATTGATGATTGATTTGAAAAAATGAAGATGTTCTCATTTCAAAAGTGACAACTGAAAATCTGATTATAGTTGAGCATCCTTAATAAGATAATAATCTTAATTCATTTAAAAAAATGAAAATAGAAGGAAAACTATGGTGCCTTCTATTAAAATTTAAACAACTTTGAAATGTCTCTTAAAGCCAAATTAAAAAAAAAATGAAAAAGAATTGGAGAAGTAAAAAAGATCTACCTTTAAATTTACTGAATTCTGTCTTCAATTTTCTTCTGTTTGGTGTCACAAAGCTGTTCTAAGAATAGTCACTGGTAATTTCAACTGCACCATATCTGGCATTTGCATTTGATAAGATAAATAGTTTATTTTTCCAAAATACAAAGGGTAAATCAAAGTGTGCTGCTTTTTTTAAAAGGCAGCAACAATTAGCAATGGCAGTTAATACAATTTTATGGGTCTTTCACCCCTGTTCTAGGAAAATGTTTTGGACAAAAGTACAGTAATTCGATTTCCATGGGACATGATTATGATTTTTTTTAGGGTTTGTAAAGGACAGTAGTTTATTGGGTACACTGGTATGTGGTGTAATCGTGTAATATTTGAGAAGGGAGGCCTTGTAGTTTTACAAAATTTGTATTAGAAGTTAAATTAATAATTAATGACAATGACTGACAATTTGGGCCTAATACTACTTACTTACGTTAAGGGTGATAGATTGTATTTTGTAACTTAAGTCACATAGACTACTCACTGCTGAGTACTGGAACGTCATCACCATGGCTTTACTGGTGTTGTTTGTGGCTTTCCTTCCCACCCAGATCCAGAAACTGCAAGCCTCTTGCCTCCACACAGCGATCAGGGTAATTGGACAAATACACATTTGTCAAGCGGAAGTCTTCAGTGTTGGGTCTTCCTGCAGTCATGTCATTCAGGCAGGATTCACATATTGCCCATTCCCCGCCATCTACTGTCTCCTGACACTCATTTTTCATTGTTGGTTTAGGCCATTTTAGTAACAGTACTAGACAGAGGATTATCATGTCCTGGGTCAGCTGTGTCTGTGCGAGGACTTTCTTCATGATCCTGTGACATGACTATGAATGTTTAACACTTCGCTCTTAGTACTCTTACTCTTAGACTTAGAGGGAGATCCAGCTTTCTCCCAAGCCCAAGCGTCCCGCTATATTGCTGGACTTCAATCGCACCTTATGGGTTTGTTAAAAACATGGAGAGCCATTACAACATTAGCAGAATTGCTTTCATTTTCATGAAAAATGATCCTTTGATTTGTACTCTGCATTTCCAAATTCAAATTAAAGTTAAGTACAGTTTAGGCTTAGGATGGACCCGCACATCATGAATCATGGCACATGACATTACTGTACTGTACTATTACATTGCTAGCACTGAACAAACTTGGCAGTACTTGTTGAAAAAGCCTTAACAGATTAGCTAAAGCCGCAAGTCAAAGTAGACGAACTATATTATTCATTATCAAAATATCGAAACAACCAAATCCACGCGGTCACCGAGTCAAGACTAAAAGTAAAAGGTTGAAAAGTGAAAGCCTGAAAACTGAAAGGCAATTCAATCTGCTATCTGGATCTTGTTCTTTGTCAATATTATCTAAACAAGATGTTTCCAGCAAGTCAAAAGCATTTAATTTAATGTGCCAAAATATGAGATTACCGAAGTTTCCACCAAAAAATCGTTAACATTTGATAAAACCTTTATAAAAGGCAATTGTTATTTAATTTGTGTAATTTTAAATAAGACTGCCAGGCATTAACTTCCGGTGCAATATAGACCAGCAGTGAATAGGGAGACAGCTCATGTAATTTTGGATTTATAGGAGGTTTTGCGTTTAATTTTGTTTTTCGTTAATTTAATGCGCATTATTTTAATTGATACATGAAATAAATACATTTATTTTATTATTTAATTACCTTTTTAAAGCACTATTTCAGACCGTTAAAAAATTCACCAGTCTCCCTTCAAAATGGCGTCGTACATAGATCGAAATGGGATTTTTCATGATCCAGATCAATTAAAACGCAACCTTTGTGCTTTAAACGACCAAAGAAATTTATCCCAATTTTGTGATGTTGTTTTAAGAGTATCTGGAACTCAGATATATGCTCATTCAAATGTTTTAGCTGCTGCAAGTCCATACTTCGGATCGTTTTTAGGCACAGGATCTGATTGTCCGAGAATGTTTTCCCAAAAACACCCTCAAATAATTGAAATTCATATTGATACCAAAGAAGGAGACGGAGGATATGGTGAAGCTGTGAGCAAAGTTGTAGAATTTATGTATACCAGTCAAATAAACCTTTCTACGTCTCTGGTATGTCAAGTAATAGAGATTGGGAAAATCATGCAAATGGATAAACTACTGCAGTTTTGTGAGAGTTTTCAAAGTGGTGAAGATAATAACATTCCACGAGATACAGCAACATGCACCACAGGTTTACAGGAAATTGCAAATTTATTGGGATCTCGTGCAAAGACTATAAAACGAGCAGATGCATCCACGGCCACAGAAGAATCTATGTTTAGAAAAGTAGATGACAAAAATAACCCTGAAATGATTTTATCTGAACCAGAGAAATGTTCAGTTACCTTAATAGATTCACTATGTCTTCCACAAATGGGAACACATGAAGATGTGATGTCTAAATCTGACTCACAGATTGATAATTCAGCGCAATGTTGTGAGAAGGAAAGTGTTGCAGATGTACCACCTGAAACTATTGGTTTTGACACAGAGAGTGTTGAACAGGCTGATGCCTCGCTTCTCCTTGCTATAAGTAATGTTCGTCCACCTGTAGCAGTTGAACTACAAGATAACATAAAAGAAGAAACTATTTGTAAAGCTGATACTAAAGTGGCCTGTTTGAATACATCCTTTACCTCTTCCTACCCCTCTGATGACTGCCTCAGTAATGTCAGAACACTGGCTGACATGATGAATATTACGGTGGATAAATCATCACAAGAGACAGATAACATTAGCAGGGCAGATCCTTCCTTCGCTGTTCAAAATACTCCTTTAGAGCCTCCAATGACTGAGCTTGCTCCTGTTCTTCATCTACCCGATCAGCAAAAAGGTATCAACCTGGAAGAAATATCAGATTTGGTTAAATTTGATCCTGTAACTACAGCATTGCTTCAAGCATCATCTAAAGTTTGGAGCAGAGGAAGAGGTCGGGGAAGGGGTCGAGGTAGAGGAAGAAGACCTGGCCGTCCTCGTAAAATAAGAGTGGAGCCAGAAAGTGATCCAGAATTTGATGAATTCATCGATCGATTAGAAAGAGGAGATGCTGTTGTACCCCAGGAAGCAGAAACATCTGGAGAAAGTAAGATAAAGGAGGAAGTGATGGATATTGATAATTCTGAAAAAATAAATGAAGAAGACAGTGGTATGATAGAGGATAAAAAAACAGTCACATTGAAAGATTCAGGTAAACCATCACTTTCTAAATGGAAAAGTCGAAGAACAAGGTCCAAACCTTCACTTCTCAGGAAAGATTATATTATGCATTCTTTAACAAAAAAAAGTCATAGGCAGCAAGAAATTTCAAAACTTAACACAACTCCAACTAAACCTGCAGAAGATGCTATTATAAATATGGATATCACTAGGGGAGAGTCTTCAAATATAAAGTTTGTATGCCAAAAATGTGATTTTAACACATCTTATTTTAAACATTATCGACAACACTTGAAATCACATCCAGAAACTGATCCCAGATATTTTGTGTGTGAAAAATGCAGCTTCAAAACAACTAAATCAAGAGAATTTAATGCCCACAAACAGAAACACATGGTGGAAGAACTCATTTGTTCATTCTGTGAGCACCGGGCTGAGTCTGAAGTTGAATTTAATGAGCATGCTAAAAAACATGAAGGTGATTGTCCATATTTCTGTTCTGAGTGTGATTCAAGATTCAAAACAAAAAATCAGTTGTTTGCCCATAAGCCAAAGCATCAGCTTGAAAAACCTTTTGTCTGCGCCATTTGTAATTCTGGTTTTAAATGGAAACATGCATTGAAAAATCACATGATCACTCACAGTGCGACAAAAGACCACCTGTGTGACGTGTGTGGCTATGCAACTGCCCACAAGTCTCAGTTGAAAGCTCATAAACTCATCCACACAGGTCTTATGTTTAAATGTCCCATTCAGGGTTGTCAGTTTGAAGCTACAAAACGTCAGAACCTCAAGTACCATATGGTCACCCACACTCATGAGAAGCCTCACCAATGTGATATTTGCGGGCAGAGCTTCTCACTCATTAAAAACATGCGTCGGCACATGCTTCTTCACACGGATACACGTCCATTTAGTTGTAAGATTTGTTCTTTCTCCACCACTCGTTACGATAAATTGAAGGAGCACAACCATAAGCTGCACAACATTGGTGAAGCCCCAGTAACTAAAAGAGAAATTACTGATGAGACTGTCAGTTTACTGAACTCTAATGTCACATATGTTTCTTCAGAGGGCATAACTATCAACAGTGATGGAGGCATCACAGAGGAAACTCTTCAAACTATTGCACAGCTGGCTTCTGCACAGAATCTTAGCAGCATTGATTTGCAAGGAACTACCATTAACATAGAGCAAACTGCAGAAGATGGGACAGTTTACCCCATCATAGCAACTGTTCAATCATACACTGACAGTAGCGGGGAAATCCAATATATAGCAGAAATCCCTGATTAGTTCTGCTATTAATGACAGGTTTTGAATAAATAGTATTTATATATTAATTTGATAAAATAACATTTGGATACAAGTCTAACAAGGGAGTTCATTAGCCTGCTTGAAAGATTAAAAGCAATCAGTTTGTGAAGAGAGGATGTGTATAAATATTAATTTGAACTAATTTTTTATTTTTCAAATAGTAGTACTAAAATCAATTATTTCCTGATTTTCATTTGTGCCTTTGTCGATAAATAGTGATAACAATATTTTCTATTTCTAAAGGTCAATTTCATTAACAAAGGTACATTTATTTCAAGGTACTTGAATTAATTGTCACATTTAGTGTACCGGTACTTGATGTTGTCTCATAAAAGCCGTCCATTGACCCAGTTCATAGGTCTTCTTTAACACCTTTGTTACTGTTATGTAGAATTGAATTAATACTGGTGCACATGGTTAACTCAATTCAACTAACTTATTTTAGTAAGTTATTTAACCCATTTCTTCACTTTCTTTAATGTTTTTTTATTTTTTTTATTTTATAAATGCTATAACAATAATGAACTCTTTCAACGCTTATTAAACGCAAATATATTTGTATAAACAATTAAAGACACTGGATATGTTGTTTAAAAAAACATAATAAGTGAAGCATTTTTTTAGTGTCTTAAACCAGTACATACCTGTAGTAAATAAAATTTAATTTAAAAATATATATTATAAATTTAAAAAAATAAGATGGTATTTAAATGAAATGTTTGGGAAAGAATTTATAATACAGTATAACATGTCTTAATTATATTAATTAATTAAAGACAGTCATGTTACTTGTTGCCTTTCTCATCCACTTTTACCCTGCACCACTTTTTCTATCCATCAGTTCCAAAGATTAAACTTGTGTGTAACATTTATGATCATATAAATTCCATGAATTATTGTTGTATCAACAAATCCCTTCTTTCTTAGATATTAAGTTTATAAAAATGGTAAGATTTATCAATATCGATTGACCTACTAAAACTCAACAGATGAGATAATTAGCCACCGTTATGAAACTTACAATGCGCACATAGAGGATTCCAAAAAAACCAACAAGCTTTTTTGGCTAAAAAACAATAATGACTCTAAATGACTGATGGAGAAAAAGGCTAGCGTCTCTTGATAATTTCTGTGGTAACGGTAGTGAATTTGTAACACAGTTACACAAAAAATGATTAATATTTGATTTATTAAAACATTTCTAGGACAAAATTCATTTTAAATTTCTGTTTATAACAGAAGAGTGGCTATTTATAAAATTTGATACGTGGCACATGTTTTTATGCTATTTATACCTCTACCTTACCTTTACATTGCTATTCATTAGAGAGATGTTGTAGTCTAATGATCATGTAAGCTAAACTGTTGATCATAATTAATAAAAAAAGTGAGATTAATTATTATATTTGGACCATATCACCACACTTGTACAATTTGGTTCTTGTCCATTTAATTTCCGTAGCACTCTCTGTATTAGTATTAGTCATATTTTGATATACAAACAGATTAATTGTTTCATATCTGTTAATGAATTGTTCATCTTTTCCCATTCTCTGTTCAGTTCACTCTGCTAATTAAACCTTTTTTTAAAATAGATGAATACTTCATGGGCTTATAATGTACTGATTGGAGTATGTCTGCATTACTTTGATCTCATTCTATACATTACAAGGGACATGTGTCTTAATTGTCACTTTGTTTGACCGACAATAGTCTTCTTAGCCTTAGTTCCTCGAGCACTTTGTAATTGTGGTACATCTGCACTTAATCAATCATTTCAATGTACACCACTTTTACAGCTCTTTCAGGCTGTTGTCCTACAGAAAACTAAGAAGGATATTAGAATTATCTTTCAAAAGCTTTTACTTTTAAGTTAATCCTATAAATTATTTGCCTACATTTTTTAAATGTGTTTTCTTTCCCACTTTGACTGTTAAAACTTGTTTCTTGTGGCTAATGTACCACCACGTAACATACCCCTTACCAGAATACATGTGGTGATAAACTATTTTAATTTAAGAATATTATGACTAGGATTTTTAGATATGATGCTATCGCAAAGAGTGTATGTCTAGATGCCACCGTAAACAAAGTGATGAGATAAAAATGTTGTCACTAACCAATAATTGTTTCGTAGTGTAAAAAATGTAATAAAATTGTATGAGTAGGTCATCAAAATCATTATGTTATTGCTTTTATAAAGCTTGAATCTTATAATGAGTTGAGTTTTTGCTTGTTAAGATCAAGTGAAGTTCAAGTTATTCTCCATTAAGAGTAATAAATGGAAACTCATCTTGAAAATATGTTGAACATTTCTATGTTTATGATTTCCTGTGTTTTTTGTGGTAAGAAAGAGATATAAAAATGAATATTGAGTATGAAATTGAGATAGTGTAGATCAAAGTGTAATGTATCTGTTTCTAGTGGCACCCATTTGAAGCTGGCACTGACATGCTAACACTCATTCAGTGGCGTAACTACAGTGGTAGTAGCTAAATAGCAGTATGGCTCGGTCTGATTGAAGAACCATGTCTGCCTAAGATTTAGTAGCACCCATTTGAAGCTAGCACTGGGGTACTAACACTCATTCAGTGGCGTAACCACAGTGGTAGTAGCTAAGTAGCAGTATGGCTTGGTTTGATTGAAGAACCCTGTCTGCCCAACTAAGAGTAAGAATAAAAAATAAAGTACCGTAAAGTAGTGAGGAAAAAATGTGAACTTAGTTGTTGGCCTTGCTGCAGACAGCCAAACCACTGGTCATCAATCCAGAAATGCTCTTTTAAGAATCAGTGAGGCGTTGAGCTATATAACAATAACTGGTAGGTCTGTTCATAATTAAATAGCATAACTTCAAAGTGAAGATCAATTTATTTTAAAATGAATGCAACATGTGATGAGATTTTTATCATTTAAATATTGTACAGAACTGGTCATAACTACTGGAATTTTTGTTGATGGTCTTCTATCAATTTTATTGTTAGGCTGTATAGTATAAGTATTTAGTATAAACAGTTTACCCTTATAGAAATTTGGAAAGAAAATAAACCCACTGATTATAACTATGCACTGTTAATAGAGCAATGAATTCCTAGATTATAACTATGCACTGTTTATAGAGCAATGAATCCCTAGATTATAACTATGCACTGTTTATAGAGCGATGAATCCCTAGATGTTGGGCGAGCAGGCAGCCTTGTCGTACTCCAACCGTGGTCTTGAACCGATCTCCGATGTTATTGTTGAAGAAGACTGCATTGGTGGCCTTATCATGAATCATAGAGGCTGCATATCATTCTGGTTAGGTGTGTGTTGATGTTGTAGTGCCTCATAGTGGCCCATAAAGCAGCATTCCGAACCCTGTTGTATGCCCTCTTGAAGTCCACAAAGATGTGGTATAGGTTTTTTTGGTGTTGAACATATTTCTCACATAGTATTCGGAGGTTTAGGATCTGCTCAGTAGTGCCACTCCCTTGCCTGAAGCCCGCCTGTTCTTCAGCATAAGGATTCTTTCGGCATAAGGTCTTAGTCGGTTCAATATGACTTTCAGCATGACCTTGCTTGGGTGGCTTATTAGGATAATGGTGCTATATATAGTATTGGCATAGCTGTAGTTTACCTTTCTTGGGGAGGGTGATGATGAGCGATTGGGTCCATGATTTAGGCCAATCCCCTGTCAGCTATATTTTGTTACAAATATTGATTAGGGCACTTATCATTGCTTCTCCTCCTTGTTTCACCAACTTGGCAGGGATATTATCCACTCCTGCGGTCTTTCCTATTTGGACTGCTGCTTCCACTTCTGGGTGGAGAATAGGGTAGTTATCATTGTCTGCTAAGGATCTCTGGGTCTATCTTTATATTTTCTTTATACAGCTCTGAGCAATATTCAGTCCATCTTCTTAGGATATCAATTTCCTCGCTCAAACATTGACCATTTTTGTCTTATATGGCAGTACTACGCCCTTGCTCTGCAGTGGTTAGTTCTTTCACGTAATGGTACTGGTTTGCCTCTTCGCCATTGTTTTTCTTCAAGCAGTTTTCAATGTGGTAGCATTGCTCTTCAATCCAGTTCTTTTTTGCCCTTCTCATACCTTTTTTGATGGTTCGGTTAACTGTCCTATATTTAATGGTCCCCTCTATATCTACCATCTTTGTTTTCTTTAACTGCCTCCATTATCACACATATCGAGGATTTCATGGTTTTATATATTACTAATACAGGTATGGTAATAATAGAAAAATGCTGTTTTTCTGTATTTAAAAATTTTAAGCAATACCGGTATTTCAATCAGCGCATGATAAAACAGGCATTCCAACAATAATTCTCCAGATTTCACCCAACCCCTTCTCAATGAATCAAACTCTGAAATTGGTTGATTTTGGCTTTTAGCACAGATGGCCTGTGGTTTTGCCACTGGGGGATAACTAGGTACCTACTATAGTAATAGGAATATTATTTAAATACAGGATAAATTCAGAGTTTCCATTTAACTAGTCTCATAATTTCTTAAATTATTCTAAAAACTCATGTACCGGGTATCCAATTTAATTTTTATGACTTCAATAAATGCACAAATGTCTTTTTTTTTAGTTGATGTATGTTTTTTATAATAAAAACAGCAAAATTTAATTTTCTATGTTAAAAAAAACCAGCAACCTTTCTTTTCTAAACACCAATTCCCATGATAACTATAACCACTGATTTGACACTTTTTTCAATACCTAAGAGAAGAAAAACTCACTGCAACAGCAAGTCGGCAGTGTAAAGAAAGTGCCCCCGAAGCAAAGAAAAGGAGGATTTAATTTCTTAAATTTTAATATCAATTTTTCAAGAATTCAATTTTTGTACGGTACGTGTAATTTTATCTTGGTACTGACTTGAGAGGTATAAAAAGTTTACTAAATCAATCTAAAGACTTTAACATGTCGCTTATAACATAATTTTAGCAACAAAACAAAACACACTAAAATATGAAATTTTGTTGTTTGTTAACTATTTATTTATTGGTAATAAAAAATAAATCAATGAAAAGCTTGTAAACAAATGTAAAAAATATATTTAACTA